AAACTCCCAACAACAATCAGATAATCCTCAACCACACTCTCCAGATCATTTGAATCCCAACTCACCACAACCAGAAAATAGACACTCTCTGTCTCCACCTTCTGAAAATCCATCCTCTGTAATTCCTGAACCTGACACCTAACACACCTCCACAAACCAATCCGAATACTCTCCTTCAGACTCTGATACCACAATCCAAATTCCTGGAATAACAAAACCTCTTGCAGTTCGCATGCCTATCACTATTCATGACATTCCAGAATTTCCTTCATCCCTTGAATCCACACCACCAAACTCTCCTAACAGACCAATTCTAATTCCTGACTCTCCCACTCCCTCACCCATCAACCATTCAGCTGACAGCCTCAGAATTGTCATTGATCCACTAGTGTTGGACATACTAGCTTCCACCTCTCGTAAAATTGCCATTCCAAAACCTAAACCAAAATCAGATGTTGGTAAGAGTCTGTTGATTTTTGAAACAGAAATGCAGAAATGGATCAATTCTTTGAAGCAAGCAAGCCTAGAGATGTCTAATCCTGTTGCTTCTGACTTTCTCTGGGAAAGATTCAAAAAATGGCTCAACGCTGAAACTATGAAGCTGGAGGAATTAGGTTATGAAAGGGCTCAACAGAACTTCAGCGATAAGCTGAAAGCTTTTCAAGGTCAAGTTGAGTCAATGGTGCAAGAAATAAATTCTTTCGCTGGATAATGCTCCCTGAAAAGAGCACCATCCTTCAGAAGTTACTGAACCAGATTCAGATAGTCTCTCCCTGACTACTGCTCCAGAAGACATGACTGTAGAAGAAGAAGTGGTTCATTCAGAAGAAGCTGCAAAATGTTCTGAACAACATGCAACCCCTGAAGGGACACCAACTTCCTCTCTAGTCATGCAAACTCTGGAAGAGTTGAAGAAAGAGAATGCTCTAATCCATGCAAGACTGGACAAGCAAGAGGATACGAACAAAGAGATCAAAGGGATTCTGGATAAATAAGAAGATACTACAAAGGAAATCAAAGATATTCTAGGCAAGCAGGAAGAGTCAAGCACTCATATCAAGAGCTTGTTGGAAGCGTTGTTCACACGCCTTCCCCCTCCTTCTTAGATTTTTTTAAAACTGTTTATCTGTAATTTTTATCTTTACCTCCTTGTTTCTGAAACTTGTCATTGCATTATGTTTTTAATATAATTCATCTTTTTTACTCTGATTATATTGCTTTTTTTGATACTTAACAAAATGGGGAGAAAGTAAGATATTTTCAATAATGGTATACCGAGACAAAAGTCTCAAACATTCTGAATTATTTAACCTCTACTTTTGAAAAGTTTTGAACAGGAACAAATTCTGATAGGAGATGCAGCAAAAGCTCTGATGAGAAGGAACTTCAGGGAAGTAATCAACTCAGGGGGAGTCTCTCTTAAACTTTTTGTTCTTTATTTTTCATTGAAAATTCTATTTTTTGTCATCATCAAAAAGGGGGAGATTGTTAGAACATAGTTTGATTCTACAACCCTTGATTAGAGTTTTGATGATAACAAATACAAAGAACAAATATTCACCCTAAAAATTATGTTAATTTGTATGCAGAAGTTCTGACCAAAGCAGTATCAGAAGATAAGCTATAGAAACTACACGCTGAAAGTAATCAGAATTTACGCTGAAGAATGATAATCAGAACCTGCACTTAAGTGAAGTAAACTCTGATTCTGAATAGAAGGAATATAATCTAAGTAATTAATGTTCTGAAGCATCAGCAGCAGGCAAGGATGTAAGATTCTAAAGCGTTACTTTACAATCAAGACAACATCAATTACAACGGCTTCTTTCAGACAGGATCTTCTCTAAATGGAAACTGCGTTAATGATCATAATCACGCTTAAAGATTGGACATAATTCCATTGCCTATAAATACAAGCTAAGAGATCAAATTGTTCACAATTTTCCAACACTACTGCCATACAATTTCAAAACACTGCAAGCTTACTCATCTCTATTCCACGCTCTAAATTTGTGTAAAATATCACAGTTGTGATAACTGTTTTTGTAACGAAAAACAACTATACACAGTACTCTTGTGTCTTTGATTAAGAACTGTTTTCCTTGAGATCAACCGGATTGTGGTTGTACTCAAGAGGACTTTGACAGTTGTCAAAGTAGTGATTGTAATCTGTTTGAGATTAGTGGATTAAGACCTCGTTGGAGAGAGGCGAAATAACCTTGACGAGTGGACTGGAGTAGTTTGAGATCAAACGAACCAGGATAAAAATACTATGTCATTGCGCATTTGATTTCTAGTTTTCAATTCAACCCCCCTTCTTGTGTTTTTCACTTCTTCATTTTCAACCTACCAAAAGCCCAACGTGTTTTGGCAATCCTTGTTAGAGGCTGTTTTGGCCGGTATCTTTCTCTTCTAGAGTTCACCTTCGATCGATGCTCTCTGAAGGTCCTACTTAGTCGGTTCCTTGTTTCTGGTTTATCTATCTTGCTCGAGTTTACCTTCTATTAGCTTAGATAACATTTTAGGTTAGGTTATGTTTTGATCATTTCCTTGCCTTGTTTAGGTTCTATTTTGGTAAGTTCTTTCTCTCTGGTTTATCCGTTTTGATCGGGTTTACCTTCTATTAGCTTAGCTAACATTTTCAGTAAGGTTATGTTTTGATCATTTCTTTCCCTTGTTTAGGTTCTATTTTGATCAGTTCCTTCTCTCTGGTTTATCCATTTTGACCGGGTTTACCTTTTGTTAGCTTAGCTAACATTTTCGGTTAGGTTATGTTTTGATAATTTCCTTCTCTTGTTCAGGTTTTATTTTGATTAGTTCCTTCTCTCTGGTTTATCCATTTTGATTGGGTTTACCTTCTGTTATCTTAGCTAACATTTTCAGTTAGGTTATGTTTTGATCATCTCCTTCCCTTGTTTAGGTTCTGTTTTGATCAGTTCCTTCTCTCTGGTTTATCTATTTTGATTGGATTTACCTTTTGTTAGCTTAGATAACATTTCCGATCAGTTTATGTTTTAATCATCCTCTTGCCCAGTTAGAGTCTATTTTGACCAGTCTCTTTCTTATATGTGTCCAGCTTTGACCAGACACGTTATTGTATTCCCAGTTCGCCTTCAATCAATGTTCTTTTTCCAGGAATCTATCTGCGGTTAGCATTTTTATATCTTTGGTTGAAGTTGTTGTATTATATTTCTTCTTCCCTTGATATCTTGTTGAGATCACTTTGTTAGATCCCTTGCATTTCTGATGGTTTCATTTGAGCCTGCTTTGTTAGGTCTTATCTACCTCTATCATCTTTGGGTGAAATCACTGTCAGATCCCATCTTTTCCTGACATCTTCAATTGAGTCCACTGTGGTGGATTTTGTTCTCAAGTATCTGATCTTTGTCTTGTATGTCTAACCTTGACCCGACGTCTAAGAGATTTACCCAGATAACTACTGTAATCCAAAAAAGAAAAAAAATACAAAATACAAAAAACCAAAAAATATAATAATACCTGACTGGCTTCGGAGCGTAAACTTTCGGGTTATTTTAGTATTTAATCTTCTTCCACCTTGAAATTTTGAAAGGCTGGTGCCAATCTCAACTTTAGTTGTAATACAATTAAATAGGGGCAGTTGTTGTACCCCAAAATTTACCCTCCTAATTTCTTTTATCCGGCCTAGCCGTTTGCATTCATCTCCATATATTCCATTAGGTCATTAGCATAACATGCATTTCATTCAATAAAAGCACCTAAGGTTAAAAAGGTTAGTAGTTTGATAAGCTTGGGTTTCCACAATGTTAAGGTGTATATATCTAATAAAGTTGGCTACTTTTGATTCTTTAGGTTATTCTGCAAGCAATGAAGTATGGAATTAGGGAGCTGCATATCAGGGTTCAAGGGTGTTTTTCCTGTCAACTTTGCCTTATGATGCAAGATTTTAGGGATAGGTGATGGAAGTGTGAATTAAGGTTTCTAATTCTTGGTGTTTGGTTTTGGTTTCATTTTCATTTGAGGCGTTCTCTTCATTATAATCAAGTGGTGGTCATCCTTTGGTTAAGATTTTGGTTTATCTGGTAATATCTATTGGGTATCCATTTTAACTGATTCAAGGCACCATTCTTTCTAACGCTTTTTTCTTGACACGCAAATTTGGGTTAGATTGGAGAATTGATTTGAATGAGGGATCCATTGTTGTTTACTTGGTATATCAAAATTAATTTGTTCAAGAGTATATGCATTTATGATGTCAAGAAGTTGATTCAAGCAAGGAACTATGGAAGAAAAGTTTGAATTACAAAAGATGCAAGTTTACAAGCCTACTAGTTTGCTAGTTTACGAGTTCGCAATTGTTTGCAAGGAGCTCATATATCAACATATATTTTTGTTACTAAGGTTCACCTACAAAATTCAAACTTTACATCACCATTTATAATTCCATTCAAATTCTTCGCCATTCTTTCAAATAAAATTACAGAGTTACAAAAAAAAACCCTAAACATGTTCTCAAGCCTAATCATATGATTTCTAGGAGAGCTTCGCATCGCTTTTCTTTTTTAAATCTCCATTTAAACTTCAAGTCGTCATCTCCTTCCAAACTTCATGCTAAACTACGAATACCTCCTCTTCATTCTCTGTGCACTCGCCATTGTTGCCATCTCATGAAACAAGAAGGAAAAAGAAGGTGGTTAGGAAACCAAACTTGAGTATAAATAAGATATTTTCAGAGAATTTTTCCAATTTTATCATGAGGGTTTGATTGAAGGAACCAGATTGTGGTTTAACGAACTCTCTTTCAAATCATGTTCCCAAATCCGAAAATAAAGCCTCATAACCTTCATAATAAAAATCAGATTCAAGTTTAATCATGGGCCTAGTTCTTTACTACAAATCACAAAATCAAGTTTGGTTCACAGTAAAGACAAAAGGAGGAAATTTGCTGCACATGTAAAACTCAAGAAAACATCACAGTACGCAGTAAAGAAACATATAGTATAAATTACTTTTCACACCTCATGCAAGTCCAAAAAACATTTGTCTCAGCATATTTGTGGTACAATAAAAAGCAACAAAACATCATAGCTCAGCAAAATCAAGGACAAAATCAAGCTACTGCAGTAACAGATTCTCACAGAAAATCAACAAGTGCAAACAAAATCATGAATTCAAGCTCAATAAAAAGAATTGTTACCAAATCAAAAAATATCACTGAAAAGGAGCTATCAAGCATACGAAATCCTAACAGGTCATCATCATCTTCCTGCTCAAAGTCCCTTCAGAATACAGAGAAAGAGAAGAGGAAAAGAAGCTTTCAAAAAGTTAGAATAAGAAAGATTTTACTGGGAAGAGCCTCATCCATTGGTGTTATGTCGCGAGCTTGATAAATCCACAACCTCGTTACTTATCTTACAGTCGTGTCCTCCTCATCATCAGGTATGTGCTAAAAAAGCATATCATTGAAATTTGAAGTTGAACCAACAATAGGGCTGCAAGCCATCCTTAGCAAGGGTCGAATATTCAATATGTATGCAACATTACTTAGTGTAACGTAAAGTTCCTCAAGGGTTTTATTCCCACTCTTTTTATGTTCCCCAGTAACTTGGTTATATATATCGTAAAGCGTCTCCAATGCTTGCATATCAGCCTACTGTACCGAATAAATGTTGCATCAACTAGCATGATCAAACGTCAAGGCCAAGTCAAGTGATGGTTAAATCTGTTTCAGTATTAGATCAACAAGATTCAGTTCAGTGCGAGGAACGCATATGTTCATCATCGTCAGTTCGTACCAAAAATAGAACCATTCCCCTGTCCAGTTATTAGGAAAATAGAAAAGAAACCGCGAGATAACTCCTTGTAACCCTGCTGTAATAATGCCCTGCATAACCAAAACCGGATCAGTTTGCAAAACAAAAAAACTATTAGCATCAAACCACCTTCCATAGACTTTCCTTGCCTTTCACTAACTGAAAACAGATCACAAAAATCCAATTCAAAATTATTTCTTGCATACCAGTTGCTCTGCATCATTCATCAAAAATCATTTCACAATTCCAAACCAAATAAACCACCCTGTACTTACTCCTAACAGAGCTAACAGTAGCATTCTTCTAACAACTAATACTATCACTTTGTACTAACAATTTTACCACCTAGCCAAGTTACTAGCGGTTTTAAAACTAACATGTTCTATTTCTAAGCCTAACTAACTTTTCCAGTTAACATTTAACTAACTAATTTTCTAGATTTTTAACTAACATGTCTCACTTCTTTTTTTTATATGACTGTAACTAACATTTTTATCAAAGCCAACTTATTAACCGAATTTTCTAACAGAAAATATCATAATATTCCAGCTCACTCAAACAGAATTAAAACTAACACCTAACTGCCATAACATAATGGTAACTAACTTTTAACTAATCTCAATCTCATCCTCCATTTCATAACAGAAAATCAAAACCAAAGGCCCAGATTTATTCAGCTCTAACTAACTTCCTAACCATAACATAATTATATAACAGAAAAACTCACCTTTGATAATCATTTTTCTTCAATATCTGGAGAATCAACCAGAAAAATTTCTAAAAAGAGGCTCTTCTTCTCCCAACTCTTTACAATCTTCTCCATCGTCAATCTTCAACCACCTTCATCTCTTCATAACCGCACCTTCATCACCAATCCTCATTCTCCCTAAGCAGATTCTTCAAGCATATTAACATCTTCATCTTCTCCGTGAATTATCTGCAATAACCGCATCATCAACATCAATCCTTCACATCATCATCATCCTGGCGCATCATTAGTAATCATCTTGCATCATCTACGATTCTACTTCAAGAATCATAGAAAAATTTATGAATAGCCTTCGACGGAGATCCTTCTGCAAACTTTTAGCAACGCACAATTCTTCTAGTGTCTTCATCTTCATCGACAATCTGCTACTGCATCCTCAAACAACATTAACATCATTAATAACGCATATCTGAAGAAAAAATCACGGAAGAATAAATTAAAGGAGGAGAAGAATACCTTAGCAGTGGCGGTCGTAGGTTGCGCCCTCGCATAAGAGGTTCAATAATTTCGTTCAGAGATCCATGAGTGCCTTAGATATAGGGTTCTTGAAATTTCTTCCTAAATCCAGCCATTCCATAGAATTTCATGAGAAATCAACGTCAACTTTAAGGTGAGGAGACGATTTGAGTAAGAGTTGATGTGTATAAGCTTCTGATTGAGGTGGTTTGATGAGTACTCACTGGAGCAGGTGAGAACGAGAGCAGTTGAAGAAGAGAAGAAGATTTGCGAATGATATGGTCTGTGATGGACGCGATTCAATCAGAGAAGAAGAATGATGGAGCCGAGTCATCGGAAGTCGATCGGAGGAATTTCCGGTGCCGTTGGTTCGCGCCGCAAGGAAGAAGAAATGGGTTCTTCGTGAGAGCTCAATCGCTGCACACTGTGTTAACCCTAATCCAATTTGTTATGTTTTTTCTATTATCATCTTATTTTATTAATTTTTTTTGTTGAAATTCAATAAAATTGATTAACATGAAAATTAAATTGAGTAAGAATATGGATCATGGGCCGATCTGCATCTCTCCTCTAAAGCCCAATGGAATGTCTTTTTTTGGCAACCTGAAACAAGTATGAACAAAGGCTAATTCTAGACCTCCCAAGCCCACTCTATTTTTTTTGTAAGCTGAAGCAACTCGTAACAAAAACAACATCATGGAATCTTAGTTGGGCCTTCAGCGCCTCATTCCACCCAGATCCGGACTGCACCCCCCGGGCCCATAACAACTGTTTATTTGGCATCTTGTTAGCTTGTGTTACAAAAACAGACTCATGGACTCTGTTTGGCTGGGCCTAGGCCCCATATTTCTTCTACACCTTTGGGTTTTGTCTTGCACCCCCTGAGTTTATTCTTTTAGTATTTTCTTTTAAATAATTTTGATAGTTGTTTAGTTTTGTTTGAACTTTTTCTTTACATGATAAAAACAATAAAAACTTGTTAGATTTTTTTTTTGATTTTAGGAAATTAAATTCCAATTATCCGATTACTCGATACTTGTGATTCACCTTTGCTTGTTGAGATCTGAAATCTTATGTAGGTTTATTATGCAATATGCAGATGCGCTTGAGATTTAGTTTGTGATTTATTTTCACAGTGATGATGCGTCGATTCTTATTTGAGCATTTGATTTCTAACTCTTTTCTTTGATTGGTGAAGCTTTCGCGAAGATTATCGGGTTTCTTTGTTTTGATACGCTTTGCTACGGATTGATATCCTTTTGTATTCTCTCTTGTTTATCTCATTTCACACTTTAATGCTTTCTAGATGTCATGAGAATTAGGAAATAAAGAGCGTGCGCTCGAAGTCGCTGTTTAAAGACATATAGCGGGCATTCCACACTTCATTTGCTATATGTGTGGTGCTTGTGTTTGTTTCCTTTGTTGTTGATTGATGAGTCACTCAATTTATTAATTGAGATCACGACTTCTCTCTTAGTTCATGCTCCCTAAAGGATTTCATCGCTTTCCTTGACTTCTTGTTGATCGATGAGTCACTCAATTTAGAAATTGAGATCGCGACTTCGGTCTTATTGCATGTTCCCCATAGGTTAGTTTTTGTTAGACTTTCTTTGGCATGCTAGCCTATATAGGATCTTTCTAGGTGTTCTCTCTTGAGCCTTTTAATTGTTGATTTGTTTTCCTGCCTTGATCTTCTATATCATGGTTAGGCAGTTGACTTGAGTTAGCATGTGCTGCTCATGACATATTGTGTGTGCTCTCTTGAGATTATTGGCTTGCTTGCTTGATTTCATATTTGTGTTCATGTTTTGAGATGATATACCCTCAACATGTTCTCTTAGGAGCTCTTGATTCATCTATAGATGATGAGTTGAGATAGACATAGTTTTAGGTGATAGACCCTTGCTATGCTCCTTTAGGACTTCTTGATTCATCTATAGATGATGATTTGAGATAGACATTAGGAATGTTATCCAAGCATGCCCATATAGGGTAGATATTTCCATTTAAAACTCAATCATAGGACCACTATTGTATGATAACATTAGGGATAGATTTAGGCTAGTCTTCCTTAGATGTTTTTCTTTCTTTTGCATCTTGCATTAAAACAAAAAACTTATTTTTCTTGCAAACTTCAAAACGCTTAAAAATTACTGATGAGAATCATACCTTTGTTGAGTATGAGAGATGATAAGCGAGTTTCTTCTCGATCTTATTGTTCTCCTATTCTAAGCTTTGGTATGGTTCAAATATCAAAGACTTATTTCATGAATAAGTGGAAAACTGGCTAATATCTCTCTCTTGAGATCAATTAGCTATCATCTGCAATAAAAACACCAACCAACGTAACTCTTTTGCGCCTCGGGATTTTCTTTCAAACTTTTCAAAAGGGACATGTTAATTCACTTATGTGCTAACGCGTGAGTCTTCAAAGGTCGAGCTGCGGCAGAAGGAGAAATTAATATTGTTCATTAAAAAACACAAACCAAATAACTTTTGAAGCCGAACTACGGCTGCTCTGATTCTTTTGCATGCATTCCCTATACAACTTAGATATAGATTCTTACACACCCATAATATTAGAACAACATGAGTGGATACCGTAGAGTACTACGAGTGTGTGGGATGCTAATACCTTCCCCTTGCATAACAGACTTCCTTATCCGTATTTCTTGGTCGTTCTAACTTGATTTTATCCTTCTCAAGTTTACTCGATGTTTACATTTCCCTTCCCGTGGGATAAAAACATTCGATGGCGACTTCATTGTTTGATGATTTTCAACCGGTTGTTTCAAATAATTTCAGCATTTCTGAGCTTAGATTAAAATGGGTTGAAAGGAAAAAGATATGAAAAGGAAAATAAATACATTCTTCGGAGAGGAGAAACTTATCAGGCATGAATTTAAACTACTCATCACAAAATTAAATCTATCGATCAATTGTACTCAACCTACAATACTCGTTAAAATCACCATGTATCTCTCACATCAGTGTCCATTTTTGTAACACCTACAAGACGTATCATAACTAAGGTTATGTCTAACGTAAAGTTGTAAGAACAATCATATTCACGCATCAGAGATGTCTCATGCAAAACAACACAGAAGCTTTAAGCTTCGATACCCACAGTAATTATTAGCTCTAAATATATCTCTAGAATATAGAAACTAACTGACTTGCTTCCCTAATCAATATTTGTGAGATCTATTTGTACAATAACACAAATCCAAACATAAATGCAAAAAGATCAAGGAAAGCATCAATAATGATTTTTAAAGCATATTTTATACAACACCATGATCAATACATATACATATATTCAGAGTAAGCATACAAACAAAGCCCAACA